ACTGTCCCTATATATTCCTATCATGCCATTATCACCAGGCGGCGCCTAACCCAAGCAGAAGCAGTAATCATAACGTCATTTTGACAGATAGGAGCAGAAAGCAAGAATGCCATCCCACGAGCTGTCGTTGGCCACTAAAGCCCGAAAGCCTAAACCTCCGAATCCTAAACCCCCCAAAATCCTTAAAGTAGATAGAATATGGGGNNATATATTCCCAAAGCCATATTCTATCTACTTAAGGGGGACTATAACCCTGTCCCCTACAGTAACTCCAAATGCTAAATCCTAAGCCCTAGAGATGCCGTAGGCTTGTGCCTGTTGCTTCCTTCTTAGTCATGGCCCGGGCCTGATTGAGGTTGGGCTTTCTGAGGTCGTTGTGTTAAGAATTTATCTGGGGCCTTCCCAAAGAATAAGGGTATCTTCTTCGAGTCCCTGATGTATTTGGGGGTCTATATTGGGTTCCCCTATTTTCGGAAACTACCATTCTGAGGTTTTGATATGGACACAAAAGACTTGAGTCAGGGTTCTGACAGTGATAGGAATGGCGCCGGATCTATGAATTGCTGGATTCGATTTTCCAAGTATGCTGGCAGTTTTCGGGGTTGTTTAGCACAAAGGAGAGGATAAAGACTGATGCACCTAACGCGGAACCAGCATAAGCAAAGAAGATACGGTTTTGGGGTGCGTGCCACCATCATTGCGAAGGGCTATAATGGGGATGATTCCTGGTATGTGCTATGGTTTCCTACATCTCGGGAGCGTTTGCGCGAAAATATGTTGGAAATGCAAGTCAAAGGTCATCTACAAGAGTGCTTCGAGGAGAGGAATATGTAGCTAAGGCCCACTTAATCTAAGGCCTCATGCACTCCTGGTATGGAACCCCATAGCCGTGTATAGCACGTATAAAGGAGCTTAGGAACTAGAGCCTTTGAAAAGTCCACTGTTGGACTGTTGGACGTCGAATCCAATGATTTGTGAAGCACCCTGAGTGATCCCTGATTGAGAAGCCCTTCAGCTTTCAAGCAAGCAGTATAGTGGGCGGAGATCTTGGTATTTGGGGATTGACAAGATTTAGTTTGGAATTTAGCCTTGACATTTATGGTTTTGAAGCCATCATTGAGAGATTCAAGGGATTCCACGATGTATCGCTTCTCACGTGTAGACAAGTGTCTTTTTAAGTGCTGGAGGCCGGGACGGTTGTGGGCCCAAGTGGCCCAACCTGATGAGACACCATGGATGCTTTAAGGCTTTCCACACTTAGGGGCACATGTTTTTACCCTCCAAATACTATGTGCCGTGCTGGAAGTTTTGGGAGAACACCCTTAAAGCCTACATTGTATACACACGTTTCGCATTTTCTTTGCTTCCTAAGCTGGTCCCAGCGCCAGTCTAGAAGCTCATGATGCTTTCTGCCGTGTAAGTGTGGCCACTTGAGGAGAGTCTTTGAAATTCTTTCTCCACCCACCGTGCAAGTAGCGTAGTGCAGGCATTTGCAGGGAACTGACTGGAATTGTTGAGGCAACCAAGTGCAGCAAGGGCTCAGGCTATGGCATCATGTCTTATTATACAAGCGTCACATGCAGGACAGGTGGGCCCTGTTGCAGGGTGTGGGGCGTACATGGCATTTGTGTTAGAGTCGTGTCAAGACTGAGAAGGTGGTGTAAGGAATGCTCTTGAATCTGTGGAGTTTGGTGGTTCTGAACACTGCTTGCAGCGCAGCTCTCGCGGCAAAATGGCTAGTTCGGCGGGCCCCTCCTCTGCAGAGGAGGCTGGAGAGCTTGATTCTTTACGCGTACGTGCTTGGTGGCATATGAGACTATTCACGGTTCGGGTTGGGGTTTGAGGAGATGGGTTCAGGAGGCTAGAGCTCACAGCTTAGGGATTCGGACAGTTTGTGGATTTGGGATTCTGGTCCGCGTGTATAAGGTCGAGGAGTGGGGTAAGATGACGACGAGCGAAGCTTTGCTTTGACAACTCCTGCGAATGTCGAATCGTTCCTTATGAGCCAGCAGCCAGTTGAGGGTTGAGGGCATTTATTCTGTTTTCAAGTGCCAGAGATCTACAGGTTTAGACCGAATGATGAATGATGCAGACTCTTTCCGGTGAACTTTCCACAGCTGGCTGATGTGCTGGCATGTTCAGATGCTTCCACAGAGCAGTGCAGCGTGTGTGTTTGGCAAAAAGGATGGACTCCCTGTTCATTTCACTTCTGCATTGTATAGTAGCGGCCTGCGTTTTGCAACCTGAGGTTCAGTCTAGTTTTGGATTAGACTTTGGGCTTGCAGGCACCGTAACAGAATCAGGAGCGCTGTAATCCAGATACGATGCACTTTAACGCCCTAGGCCCCTTCACCTTCAGCTGAACTATTAAGCCATGAGCCCTCGCCCATCAAACCAACACTCATAAGTAGTTGGTGGGACATAGGGAATGAAACAGAAAATGAAATAGAAGCTACTTTGTTGGTGGGGATTGTAAAGGGGCTATTATATGGAGCCACTCCCTCGCTTCCTTGAGAAACACCAATAAGAAAGACGCAGTTCAAAACTGCAAGCCCTGAAGCCCAAAGCCCTGAACCCCCAATACGGAGGCCATGAGCTTGATCACACAGCTACGGCGTTTGGGCCTGGAGGGTGTTGCTTGGCGTTTCAACCATGAGGTTTTTTTAGCCGTAGACTTAAGCCCGAAGGGGTTTAAGGGTTTGGGATGTCTTGAGCTTGGCATGAAGGGTCTGTAAACCCCAAACCCTACACACTATGGTTTCGTTGAGGGTTTGGGGTTCAAGGTTGAGGGGGCTGTGGATAGACGAGTGTGGCTGAAGGTTCAGTGTGTTGGAATATGAGGTTTAGGCCCAGGTGTGAGCCCCTCAGTCGTTAGGGGATGACCACATAAGTTTAGGGTGTAGGGTTAAAGCGCAAACCCTCATCTCCCTCACTTAGTGCGGACTTCAACGAGCACTTGCTGTTGAAAGGCCACAGCTGCGCCGTAGAGAAGGATATCTGTGTAAGCACCTGCAGTTTTGGAATGAACATCTTATATTGGGGTTCTACAGGGATTATATTCCCTTATTCCCTGCTAAGCCCCCATAAGCCAGTGAGTTGACAGTAATCAAGTATCTGCCTGCCGCGGAAGTAGTTCGCAAGAACGGACAGTTGCACGTGGAACTTTTCCAGAATCCGTATAGCACGGGTTCCTATACTTGGGTCCCATTTTATTGCGGGTCCCTCTCTTTCAGTTTTCACCACTTTGGTGGTGGCAAGTTGCATCAAATCCAGCAATCTCCCACATGTAGCTAGCAACTGCCGCCGCAGTAGGAGCTGCTATGCTTGGGAGCAAAGGTAGAAAAATCAGCCTCGTACGGCTCTAAGGGTCCAAGTGTAAGTGATTATTGAGTTTCAGAAGCCTTGACATGGACCTGCGCATCTAGGTGATTCCAGGTTGAGTCGTAAGGGCTGAAATATGGCTTGCCTAGACCGTTACTTACTGGTGGAAAGTAGGGAATTAGGAAAAAATTTCGCTATATAACCATACATGATATGTTTCCTTATTCCCTACCAAGCCTAAACCCTATATAATATATTCCCTTATTGCCTACTAACCCTCAGTAAGTAGGGTAATCCCAAAGCTGAATCCCTAGCTCAGGACGGAGTGGATTTGCCCAGGATTTGTGTTGCGGGATTCCAGAGCAGCGGCAAGTCGTCAGTGATGGAAGCTTTGACAGGCAGGGGCTGATTGGTTCATGCTTAGCCATAAGGAGTACCGTTCCAAGCTGAATCCCTGAATACCTGAGGGTGAGGATGGCAGGGATATGCCTTTGTATGTAAGGTGAATGCCTGTATTGTATACCAGCATCCAAAGTGCTCCTGCGTTTCTGCCACTGGAGCACGGCCTTCAGCAATCGCAAGAACGTGCTTCTTTTGTAAAAGCGCCCCAAGGCCCCATGAACCCCTCAACCCATAAAGCCCAAAACCCTCATATTCTAAGTTACCTTATGTTTTCTTACTACCATCAGCTGTTGCGGATGTTGCTTTCAGGCTTCAGGTTGCATACTCAAATCCCAAAAGCCCTCATGTTCAAGCTTTCAAACCCAAACCCTGGAGTGTGAAGGCATCGCCCTTCCCCGGAGTGATGGTACGTGCACGAAGTGTGCTTTTGAGATTGCCACGGAGAAAGCGGATTGCGACTTCCGCTGCGAAGTGAGCCTTCGTGTGAAGTCGAGGAGGCGTCTCGTTTAGGACTTTCAAATGGTCTAGGGTGTTGGGAAATTGAGCGCTTTGAAGGTTGGGGCTTGGAAATGCAGGGTTTGGGGTCCTTGGGCTGTTTAGGGCTAGGGCCAGAATTTGGATTCCTGACGGCATGACTCCTGTTTCCGTTGATGGCCCATCACAAGCTGTCCCAACCTACTGGCAGGTTCCAACTTCTTCAGACTTCGGAGCCCTCTGACGTCATGGAGATTTTGGAACTGGCTCAAAAAGTTCTGCTCAAAGAAGAACCCTGCCTGAAATATGGTCCTTGCAGAGCGTGTTCTTGAGAATCAACCTTGGCTTGCACCAAGATAGTGTACACGCGCAGGACAACAAGGCAATTCTGGAGCAGACAGGAAAACTGTCCCTGGACATGCTGAAGCTGGGTTGCTGTTAGGGAACTTAAATTGAGTTACCATGCTGGGTATACATATACAAAGAATAAATAATGGGGTTTCCCCAATATAGTAACCTAAATCAAGTTCCCTAACAGCAACCCAGGAGGGGGCTTCTTCATGGCACCTCCGATGTTCAAAACTTCTCGGAGGATGTCGTGGAGGTTGCTGTCCAAGGGAAAGATGCTGGGTTGCCGTTAAGGAGCTTCTAAGCTACTATAACAAGGACGCCCCCCATTATTTATTCTCTACCCATGATATGGTAACTTAATTATGTTCCTTAAGCCTATATACCCCAATATACCCCGGCATAAGCCTTATTTAATATGATAACTTAAATTAAGTTCTTTAACAGCAGCCCAGGATTTCGACAAGCTGGAGCTCATCGATTTGCCTGGACTTGTTCCTGCAGAGTCACCAGACATTGCGGACAAGGCGGCGCCGAGCTGTAATAATGATTAAGAAGAAAAACATACCAGTTATTGTATAAGAAGTAATAATAATAACAATACATATATACCTACGTATATATATATATATTATGGGGTTTAGGGAGTCTGGGTTTAAGATGGCAAGCCGTTGACTCCGTATGCTTTTAAGTTTAAACATTCGATCTGGGAGGTTGAAAAGCTCGTCCGCTGGTACATGTCCCAGGAGAACACCATTATCGCCATGTGCTGTCCTCCGGTTGTCGACTTGGAGACCCAGACAGTCAGGAATCTTGCCAAGGAGCTTGACGCGGATGGCTACCGCACGGTTGGCATACTGACAAAAGCAGACCGAATTCCTGAAGGTGAGGAGCAAAAGTGGATGACTACGGTCAATAACGAGGCAGACAAGTTCAAGCTCACCCATGGATGGTTTGCTGTGAGGAACCCAAACCAAGAAGAGTTGAACAAGGGGGTGAAAGGCAGCAAAGCGCGCAATGAGGAGCAAACGTTCTTTCAGAAGGAAGCTTGGAAGTACGTCAAACCTGGTCGCCTTGGAACCTCGAATCTTCGTGCGTTCCTCTGCAACTTGCTGCAACAGCTCATCCTTAAAAAGTCGTGCGCTCAGTCAACTCAGTGCACAGATGAGACGCAAGGGCAAATATCCGCTGCATAGTCACCTGCAGAACCAAGGTTGCGTTGCGTTCAGTGGCAGCTAGAAAGCAAGTTGGAAGAAGCAAAGCAGGAGTTTCTCATGCCTACGCTCTCCCGAACAGAACCTGTAAGGGAAGTGTGATCCATGGAAACAATCCTTCCAAATTCATGCTTGCAATGCACGTCTCAACAAGGAAGAGAAATGAACTTGGAGGGCTTGTGAGTTCGGTCTGTCAGGAGCTTGAGCGTCAAGGCCGCGCCGTGAAGGAAGATGAAGCTGTGGCTGTGCTCAGGGGCTTGGAGGAAAAGGTGTCCAATCGGCTTGTGCCTGAAGTTGAGGCACAAGATCGTGGACAGCTGCAACTTTGGAAGGATGTGGAAAAAGCCCTCGAAACCATGAAAGAAGAATGCTACAAGTGCCGACCTTCGTTTCATGTACAGGGGGTTTTGGATGACAGCATGTTGATTCGACGGCAGATCGTTGTGCGCTTGCACAGCTGGAATGACTGGCACCACCTGACGCAAGCCATGAACGGTGTGGTTGTTGACGAAGTTGTCAACTTCCAGAATGCAGCGGTTCCAAAGGGTGCCAGGTTGGTAGAATTTGACATGTGGGAGACACTTCCAGGCCAGGATCCGTTTCGGATGATCAGCAAGCAAGAAGACGGGTGGCATTGGAAATATGGCTGGATAAAGACAGAGGGCAAGACTGAGTGGAAAACCTTCAGCAGCAGGCCTTCGGAGCTTATCAAGTCAAATCCTGTCTGGCCCGTGACTGTTCAATTTCACCCAGAGTCTTTCTTCAGCCGAGAAATGTCCATACAGGAGGTCAGGAGCCTGATTTCAGACCTTCGAGGTCGAGAACTCAAGGTGCCCGGAGGGCCAGCTGCCCATGCCACAGCTACAAAATTGCTTCAAGAAGCCATTTGGAAATGGAAGGGGCCTGCGAATCATTGTATTGAACGGGCCCTTACATTGCTGATGAAGAGGGTTCAGACAGTGGTTATGGATGAGCTTGGGCAGTATCCAGCTGCCAAAGAGGCTTTGTGGAATCACCTGCAGGAAGTGATGCGGAAGGCTCGGCTCGACTGCGTGGCTAGCCTTGAGAGAAAGTTGTCGCAGGAGAAGTGTATCTTCACTTTGAATGATCACTATATGTGCGACAGTTTCAACAAGGCCCAGACAAGGATCAGACGCTGGCTTCATCTATCCATCAATTGGCAGGCCCTTGGTTCCCAGGAAAGTGATGAGCTACGAGCCCTGTTGTCCAAAGCGGGCGTGAAGTTGCCCAGCAATGTCATCCAATTCAGCGAAGACTCTTGGTGCATGTCGCAGCATACAGGAATCTGAGGCTGAGCTGTTGATTTTTTTTTTTTTGCGAAAGTCAGCTGAGGACGATGATGCCATTTGGTGTATGAGCGTCGTGCATGCCTATCATAAGGCACGCGGCAGGGTACCAGCTGCGCACAGCATGTTATGTACACATCGTGTGGCAGTGCATATGTAGGTACCAATTTACACAAAAGTGCAGACACAAATGCCAACCATAGCCATGCCACCATTATGAATAATTTCCTATGGCTCATGCATGCCAGCCTACGCCGCACAGGTCTCCAAAGCATTCAGTGATGCCGCTACCTTGTACTTTTTGCGGGGTCTCATAGGATCCAAAAGATTCCATTCCTCGTCATATGAAGCACCACTCTACCCCCCACTGTCAAACATGCCACCCCAATATCTGGGACCTTTACAGAAAAGATTCATCATTTTTTTGTGCGGAGGGGTGTTTAATATTGGACGAAGGGCATCTCTTTTATGGAGTATCAAGATTCATCTTGGTACCCTACATTCTGAGAAAGCATTAGCTGTTCTCAGCTGGAGAAGATTTCGCTGATTGTAGTGTGCCATGCAGGTGGCATTCAAGCGATTCATTGATGCGCTCTGCCAAGATATCCACAGCATGCTTCAATCCATTGCTCGCTCAAAATCCCTCTGGAAGAGCGGCCTGGACGCAGATGCATTTCTTGGGTACTGCATGGCTAACTTGAGAGCAATGCGCGGATGCTTTGTTGCATGTGCTGTTGCTGTTGCCAATGTTTCCTTTTTGACTCTTGCGTTGGTATCTTCGACGCCCCTCGTCGTCGTTGCCGCAGCCGTCCTCCTCGTCGTCGCGACAGCGGCGTTTGCGGTGGCGGCATTTGCGTTGGTGGTGGCAATTGTTGTCTTGGTTGTGGCTGTTGCTGGTGGCGACGTCCTCACTATCATTGTGTCGCTCTTGCATCACGTATCCCCAGGTCTGGCAGACGACTCGGATGTCAAGCATATTCATCGCCTTTTCCAGGAGGATATCGCCGCCGTCGAAGCCAGGAAGCTCCTTGAAGAGAAGGCCTGTGGATGCACACATTGAATTTTGAATTGGCAAGCCCTGCATGGTCCTTGGAAATATCTTTCTTTAGACCCATCTAACCCTTTACCTGAATTTGGTGATTTTGCACTTGCCCGCTGGTGCTGTAAATCTGCAAGATCGACCGGCTGCGTGGGGGACGAAAGCTGCTGGCAGACAGCTGGAAGCATCTGGAATGCAAGGCTGGTATCTTTCCTGCCCGTGCAATTATATGGGATGTTCGGCATCAGGCTGTGCACGTGCGTTGTGCCTTTTTGGTTCAGGCTGCATCTGGCGCGCAGTTGCCCAAAGGCAGATTCCAAGCTGGCCTCTGAAGCAAGAAATCCATGTGGGTGGTCGTCAAGCGTAAACCCTGAATGCTAAGCCCTAGATTAGGGTGTCCCCCAAACCGTCAGGTGCAGTAAAACCAGTGGCATAGTATCGGGTTTTCACGCTTTGCCATGACTCTGACGGCTATCCATGTAGATCATCCGCTGCCGCGCTCCATGCATACAGCAGCAAGGTGTAACAGTAGAAGCGCCCAACAGTGCTTTCTACTGTTCCTTGATAGCTTGTGTGCCTGCAGCATAGCCATCGACATATCTGGCAATTTGCCATGCTTGGTGTTGGGGAGCTGGGTCTGGACGTAGAGGCGCAACTGTATAGAGTGAACTCTCGCGGCAGGAATGCCATTTTTAATCAGCTGTGTACTACAGTACTACAGCACACCACGAGAAGTTTTGTCCGAAAATGTACTGCTGATAAGAGCACCTGCAACATCGGCCCCGGGTCGCCAGAATTTGAGAGGACATCTAAAATGACGGATTCATAGACTTTCCAGGGTCCGATATGTAGGTGATTCTTGCGCCTGCGGTGTGGTTTGCTCCACCCATGTACCGTGCCCAGCTGGGGTCCGCTTGTGGGTACGGAAGTGTGCACGCTCAAATGGGCCCCAGCAACAATAGTCAAGCTCATACCTCTAAACTTCAAATGCCTAAGCGCTAAAACCCCAAACCCTTCAATCCAGAACCCGCTCCCTCCTGCCTCAGCCTTTCACACCTTCCCAAACTGCTGGGGAGGATCGAGAGAAGTACATGCCCTGCGGGGTTTTCTAGAAATTGCCCAAGGGTAGTACGGAGTACCATATTGGGGGTCCTAACTTTCAGCGCCTCTGCGGCTGAGGTGGGAGGGCTGATGGCCGTAGTCCGGCAAATGTGGTATATTGTTCCTTGACAGCAGGATTGCCTTAGGTATTAGGGTTCAGGGTATATTGTTCCTTGGCACCAGGATTGCCCTAGTGTTTTGGAATTAAGGGTGTCGTTTTTTGTTTTAAAGATTTGCAGCTGTATGCTTTTTCTGGGGTAGGACGTTGGCATGAAGAGTGGTTTGGGGCCTGGGGGTCTAGGGTTTTGGTGATTTTGGGTGATCTGGGATTGGGGATTTAGGACTCTTCCTGGATTTGCATAGGGGTTTGGGTTGAGACGTAGGGTGGAGTGATTATGGATTCAGGGTCGAGTGTTTGGGCCAGTCATAGTTACAACGACCCTCACCGCAATTGGTGGTTATGCAGAGGCTTGACAGGCAGTTTTATACATGAAATGGTGGCCTAACCCTAAACCCAAGACACTAAAACCCAAACCCCAAACCACAACCTGTAGACCTCTATGACTTTTTTCAAGTAGCTGGTCCAGGCAGGTAGAGATTCAAACAGTAACCAACCTGTAGCTTTTAGTTCTGGATACATCCGTTTTTCATGACATACCTACCTCGAGCTTGTCAAATCGAAGCTAACTACGTTACATGGGTTTTGCGTCGATTCCTTGCGGTAGGTCAAATTGAGGGGGAATTCCTTTGAGCTCAAAACCCCAAACCCCCCAAACCGCCCTCAGTGGTTTCGGTTTTGGTGTTCAGACTGGACGCTGTCTCGGACGCTCGGACTTGTGCTCTGGACCCCGGGGGTGTTCGTCCATCGCTTAGGCGATGCTCAGTTGATGAGACCTAGGTGAAGTCCACAGCACTTTAAGCCACAACCGACGCAACCCAGTGAAGCCTAAACTCAAAATCATGAACAACCCTAAACCTTAAATCCTAAACCCTCAACCCTAAACCCTAAATTCTAAGCCCTCGACCGTAAGCCCTAAATCCTAAGCCCTAAACGGAATCTTTGAGGCTGTGGTGGTCATCTGCCTGACCTACGCCAGCAACCTTCCCCAGGTTGTCCTTCAGCTCCTTGGCCTCGAGTAGTTTGCTGGTGGTTTATAGTCCCCCTTAAGTAGATAGAATATGGCTTTGGGTGTATTATAGTAAGACCCCCATATAACCCATATTCTATATACTTAAGGGGGACTATAGGGCTTACGGTTTAGGGCCGTTTAGGGCTTAGAGTGTTTGTTTTGGGGGTTTCCCGAAAAATCAGCGGTACCTTCAGGGATTATACGGGATATATAGGGTTCAGGGTTTCCCAAGAGGGGTTCCCAAGATTGGGGGTACCACCTTTTTTGGGGGTCCCTATAGTAAGGATTAGTGTGCTTTGGTGTCTATACTCCCCATGCTCTTGGAAACTATTTTATTGACCCCGATGAAGGAACAGCCCCCTCCCCTCAATAGGGACTATACTAGGGATCCTAATGCCAAGGCTTGTTTATCAGCAGTCTACATTAGTAGGGTCAAGGAACAGAGCATGGTAACAGCAATAGTATTTAGGGTTTGGGGGCGTTCGTAGGAAAGAGAGAGTGGAAACCACCATACTAGCCAGGCCTTAGCGTCTCGGGCGGTTAGGAAGGGCTGAAGGGATGGAAAAGAATGTGGAGCTACTACTTGGTCCAGAGTCTAGGGTTTAGGGTTTAGGGCTTAGGGCTTAGGGTGTAGTGAAAGAAAAAAGAATGTGTTCTCATGATATGGGATTTTATCGGCACTTCAATCGGGATTAACCCTCGAGTCCCTACTAACCCCTGATAAAGTAAAGCCTTTGGGTTGTTATCATCTTTTGTTCCAGCACCTTTTGTGTCGTTTGAGAAGTTGTAAATTATGCTGTTGCGATTGTTGCTCTTCTCATGGCCGTGGGGTATTGACGAAGCTTAGGACCCCGTTGCCGCTGTCATACCACAAGTCCTTACATCCTTTCCACACCCCCTTAAAAGTTTGCTCAGACTTTTACAGCCCTCCCATGATCACGTTTGAAAGCGATGTATGGAGGGTAGTTTCTGAAAGCTTCAGGGCTTGGAGGATCTAGAAAGTAGAACCTCCCAATACGGTACCCTATACTACTCGTACTATTGCTCTAGGATATTTCCTAAACAGGACCCCTGCCCATTCACTACATAAGGAGATATTGTGCGTAGCTCATATGGCTTAGAGTTTAGGACATGGGTCTTAGGACTTGGGGTTTGAGCTGGACATATAGCTAGGATTTCGTGCCATCTTGTTCTCACGACAAGTTGTGATCCTCAAGGCCTCATCCGTGACACCTACAAGGCAGCTTTAGTCCTACGTGTAGGTACTTGGGTAGTTCAACTGTTATCTCCTTCCACTTAAACAGTTTAAGCTCTACACCAACACGCTGTTTCAATGTTTCCGGTTGCTGTTTTAGGGAGTACGCCCTAAAACCTAAACCCTAAACCTCAAACCCTCAACCGCTTGTGTGGTTTTGAACGTTTGTAGGCGTGTGGTTGCTGGTGCCGGGCACTGAGATTGCTACCGAAGTCTGGCAAAGTTTGGCGGTCCAATATCGGCATTCCAGAAATTAAGGGTCACTTGCGGTGTTTGGAGGTATAGAAGGGGGTCTAAGGCTTGGGATTCATCTATGGGGGTCCAAGAACTTCACAACTGAGGTCTCAATTTGGTGGCTGTTCTGCGGTTCAAGATTCAAGCAGATTCTGTTTTGTCCTAGGAATTTAAAACATCTAAGAGAAAAGGTTGACTGGAAGCTAGAACTTGGTGGCATGTCGTTTATCAGGCTTAGCAAGGCTGAAACGAACAAGCTACAGCTTCACAACCCACGGTCCTTTTCCCGGATGACTTTCTACGTCTCTCTCTCTCTCTCTCTCTCTGTCTGTCTGTCTGTCTGTCTGTCTGTCTACCCTAAACCCTATACCCGTAAAGCCTACACCTTAAGCCCGAAATCC